GGTAGTGAAGGCTGTGAAGAAATAGACCTGATGACTGTGAGTGACTAGGCAGTAAAAGAGCTAGTTGTATTCAGTGTAAGCAAGTATAAAATGGTGGGGGAAATGGCCCAAATCTGTATATAAAATGTGGGGCTCTAAACTTGCCATCACACATGGGAAGGTGTGGGAGAGCTAGAAATCCGCAGTCTGGGAAAGATGACTGTGGTATGAACTTGAGTGGCCTGGCGAGGAGCCACTGGGGGATCCATATAATGTTCCAGTACAAGAAATAAGTGATTTCAAGTGGAATGAGTAGGAAGCGGGTTCAGACTGAAGTCTTTTTCACACATTAAGGACCTCCTCAGCACAGCACGTGAGGAATGTTGAAAGCTTTCCTGAGTTCACATGGAGACAGGAGGATCTCATGGAAGAGATGCACGAAGTTTAGGACAGCTTTGAGCTGCAGGTCAGTAGTCGGGTCTATTTGGAGGAAGAATTGCTGTGAGGGATCTCTGGGCTAATGCTCCTTGAGTATCTGCTTTTGGCACTGTGGATGAAGAGATGCTGGGCTAGAATAAACCTTCAATCTGACTGTTCAGATGTTTTGAAAGGCTGATTTTGGAAAAAAAAAAAAGTGCACATATTACATACACATGTGTAAGAACATATGAATATGTGTGTTGATATTATCACAAAGATTGGCCTGACCAAGCATATTGGGGAAGAACTTGCTTTTTCCCAAACGCCTCGGAATTGGTCCTGAGACTAGGCAAGTGCTTTCTTTACTTCAGAAGAACTGATAATGGTGTTCAGAACTCTTGTGCAAAATTATAATGCACAGAAAGGATTGTTTACGAACTTCGGCTTCTTATCTGGGTCCTCCTTGGGCTATTTTTTTCCTGTTGGCTGGCTGTAATTAAGTTACTGCTCTTGTTCAGTATAACTTATTTGTACTTACCAGCCTATTGGAGCAGCAAGTGCATTCTTCCCTCAGCTATGTTGACTAGTTAAACTCTTGACTAGTACAAAAGCTTGCCATATCGGGGACCTCAGATCAAAATTAATAAAACAGAATGAACTGTTTTGACGGTGTGAGGATTGCTGCTTTGCCTTGCCTTCCGTGCAGGAATACAGCCGTCTCCGGGACTGGTTACTGAGCTATCAGCTCTGAGGGTAATCCCACCTCTGCTAATTTTATTCCGGTAAACATTTGCCAGTATAAACTTAGCTTTACCAACTCGTGTTAAACAGGAAGCTTGTTTTTCTGATCTCCTTAGGGCATGTATAGAATTTAGGAAACTCGTGAGTTACCTTGATTTAGATTAGATGAATTAGATGTTTCCATTAAAGTTAATGATAATTGATTTTCTCTGGAGGGTTTAATGGTGTTTTTTTTTTCTTTTTTGCCGCTGTTCTAGATTGGCACATCTCCTGTATAAAATAATAGTAATCAAGAAAATAGCTAATGTGTTCAAGGTGTTGTTTTCTCCCTTGTTTTTCCCTTTCTGCAGTGTAAAATCTGCTTATTTTAGGTCTGCTAACAACTTGCAGACTGAGGTGAATCAGAAAATATTCTCCAGTAGTCCTCAGCAATAAATGCAAATGTCAGGAGTGTGAAACTTTGGAGAGAGGATCAAAACTGGAATGTAGTGAGCTATAATTTGGCCGACCTTCAGCATTAGCATCCATGTGCCTGGGAGAGCTGGAGCAGGCTCCATGATCCCGTAGGCGGATTCCAGCTCAGCTCGCTGTCGTCTGCGGAACAGCTCCCTGTGCAGAGCCGGCTCTGCTGCTGCGTCAGGCTGATTCTGCAATGGGGGTTCAGAGCAGAGGCGCCTGCGTCCCCCCTCGCGCGGCTGCCCCGTCACGTGCGGCCTCCCGGGGCCTCCGCAGGATCCGTGTTCAGCCCACGGCTGCCTCGTGGCCTCAGGGTTCCTCTGTTACCAGACCTTGTCTGCCTGACTAACAGATGGTTTCTTTTTGTTTCAACAAATAAGAATTTGAGACTGTCCTCCTTTCCCGGAGAAGACTACATTTGAGTTTGGGATTTATTTTTAGCTACTCAGCACGTGGGTTGTGCAGACCAGGCACTTTTCACTGCAGGACAGGCCAAATTCTGGAGAGAGAATATTGTCCTGTGCATCCTTAATGCAACGAGTGTAGTCAAACCCAAACAAAATTAGGCCTCTTTCTATCTGGGCTGCCCTAAGACTCTGGTACAAAATGAACGGGTCTCTGAATTTCTTGTGCAGGTATCTGCATGAGAGGCATCTGCTCTGCAGGCCAGGAAGAGTTTCAAGCAGTGTCAGCATGGATGAGCTGCCAGCACTGTGTTCCTGCTGGGTTCTGCACTTGTGCTTTCTCTTACCTCTTCCCCAAGATGTCATTTTTGTTAAGTGTGTCTGTGCAGCGTGGTGAGATCCTTTAGCAGGGACTTGGCCTGCTGCTGTCATAGAAATTATAGTTATGGTCTCTAGCAGTAATTCTTCCTTGGACCTACTGCAGTGAAAAGAAACTGCCCTTGTTGGCCTCAGTAAGCAGGGGAAGGGTAGTGTGCAGGGAAGCTGTGCTGTACTGCAAGTGGCAGGACTTGCTTAGTAGTAGCATTTCTCCCTGAGAAAGGAATCATTTGCCGTTTGCTCGTTTTTCACTTTGAACCAGTTATGTTCCACGGCACTGGGCAAAGCTGTCCTAGCAAACATTTGGCACTTCTGAGATCCAGGTGCTTTGTTTCATGTTAGTAGCATTTTCAATGTGGTATTTCTATTAACGCTGGACCTTTGATTTCTTCTTTTTGTTGTGGGAGCGGCCACTTACTCAGCACTTTATCAGTGCTCCCAGTACATCTTGGAACTACTCTGCTCTATGTGAAACTCAAACGCCTTCCCTTTCTCTTTGGAGACCCAGGTAGCTGAGCCAGCGCTCTCAAACCAGATTCTGTTGTTAAATTACATTAGCCTCATATTCTGCTCCACAACCGTCTCCACAGTGCTGTTCTTTTAAGTCCTTTCCTCCTCCTTTTCCTTTAGATTGTTTCCCCGAACACTTGTGTGAAAATATTGACTAGAGACTCTTGTTTGTTCAGCACTTCTGCTCAAAGGACTTCTCAGCAAGGGAGAGAAGAGCCTGGAAGTTCTGCTGCAGCTTACATTATTTCCTCCATCCTATCCAAGGATGTTTTACCCTTCATGATTTGAATTAACGCACATAGGCCATTTGTGGCACAAGTAACCTCTGGATAGACTACAGCATTCCTTCTCCAGCTGTTAGAGATGGCTGGTTCGGCAGCGACTGTCCCTGCAGCTCTGCACACTGGTGGTGTTCTGGCCTGGGTGTTCACTTTACACACCATGTGTTTGCTCACCCTCTTTGCCTGTTGCAGAGCTGTGTTAGGTGAGTGCGTTGGAGCAGAGACCATCCCTTGAAACTTGAAGGTGGCTGGAACAAGCCCTGTTGGTGGCTGGGTGGCCCTTAGCAGATAATCCAGAAACTCAAGTTCTTCTCCTTAGTAGGTTCTGTCAAGCTTCAGGGATCAGTTTTATCCTGTGATTGTGCTGGGCTGCAGTCTTGATACAGTAGCAATAAATCAAGAACTATTGTTTTCTTTGTATTTCAAAGTAACTTTCCTTAATTATAGGAACAGAACCAATTCCAGAGCTTTTTTTGAGAGAGAAAAGTCTACTTTGGGAGTTTGAAAAGTCACAGAATTGGAAGGTTAGGTTTAAGAAGTTTAGAGGTCTTTAAATGCAAGAGGCAGAGCAGAAAGAGACCTTATTCTCATAAATCCAATGACTCATCTCTCCTCTGATGGTTTCATGTTGGCTTGCTGCTGCAGGGCATTGCCAGGAACCTGGGTGAGGAGAAAGATGCTTTGCTGTAACACTCTGGCTTGAGTAGCAAATAATTTCTTGTGATGAGTTGTGATGCAGTCTTGCTCTGAGGAAGAGGCCTTCTGTGCCTAAAGCACTGAGATACCAATTTCTACTAGTTTTGGGGTTGTTGGCAAAGAGGTCCTGTTTCGGGGGCCAAATGACTCACGCTATTCTCTCTCCTTCCTCCCTGCTTTGGGGATGGTCTCCCGGGCTCATCCTGCGGTTCTGCTGTGAGCGGGGCAGGTTCTGTCCCGTTGGCAGCAGCGCGTTCCCCTGGCGCAGGCAGGGCCGTGTCCTGCACTGGAGGCACCAGCAGCGCGAGTCCTTCTGGACACCCCTGGCTTCACCCAGGGGAGCGTCTGCAAACGGTGGGGTCTGGGCTGAGCTCTTCTTAATTACCAGACAAACAAGAGTCAGAGACTGCAGCAAAGAGACGCTGCTAGATATATCCCTCCTTATCCTTTGTGTGTGCCTGCACACTTGCTTTCAGGTCTGTTTTTGCATGCAATTGCCTAGTGGCAATTTTCCTGAAACTTAGACAAATGTGACCTTATGCCTGAGCGTGCCTGTTGTTTGATTCCCAGGCTGTCCAGCTCCTTCAGCCGTGGATGGTCTGTTGTTTGCCCTATTCACTTTGTGATTGGGTCTCTTTCCAGGTTTTGAAGGCTGTTCCATGGTTCCCACCATTTATCCCCTGGAGACCCTGCACAACTCCCTCTCTTTGCGACAGGTCAATGAGTTCCTGACGGCCGTGTGCAGGAGTTGCAGCGAACCGCATGTGCAGTCTACCGCAGGTACTGGCGAGGTGGGCTCCGCTCTGGGTGCAGCAGAAGGAGATAGCACAAACCTTCTGCTCTTATTGGACCTGATCAACTGGACAAGACTGGTAATACTGACAATTTCTGGTACCCATCCCAAGATGTTGTAGTTAAGAGCAAGCTACAGGATCCTGCTCCGAGCTGTTCAGGGCCACTTGAGAGACAAGTAGTCACTATTTTCTGTCTGTGATGGATAAATATTGTGATGTAGGTGCAGTTGCAGCTTGGGAAGCTCCAGGTGTAGTCCCCGGAGGCTGAAAGGCAAACGGGGCTCTGAATTTGCACTGTTCTGAACCCTTCCCTGAGCAACCACTAGTGGCTGCTGGGTTGCATGTCTCTGTTTTGAGCTAGTTGTGATTTCTCTTTTGTTTCTGTGTCTCAATATCACTGATCTTTTTGCTTCTTTTTTCTTAAAGCTCTGTTTGATTCGATGATTGGCAGTCAGATACCAGGAGACCCCTTTATGTCTCAGCGAGTCCTGTCATCATCCTCCTTCCCGCTGCGCCAGCGTTCGGATAAACCCCCTTGGTGTGAGTGTGCTCCTTTCCTGTTCAGAAATGAATGTAATGGGGAGAGGGGTGAAAATAGGGGGTGCTGCATGGTGACAGCCACTCTGTGATGCTCTTGGGGCTTCTAGGCTCTGCCCTTGATGGAACAGAAACCGATTGGGAAAAGATGGAAGCAAAGGGGAAATAGGTGAAGGGGAAAGCAGACATCTGCCCTGCTGGAGACTTTCCAGAGAAAGATGCAAAACCTGATTGTTTTAGAGTACTGTACATTGCTGGGACATCTGCTGTTGGATGGGTGTTGTCCCTCATCCTGGGCTGTGTGCGCTGAGACATGCAGGGACTAAATGCACTTTGTTTTTGTGTCAAGTTTTGTGGATCTCTGTGACACACAGACAACTTAGTTTCCACATGCGGAGATGTCTTCCCTTTCCTTTCAACCTTTTGGTTGCCTCAACCGGAGGTCTGTGCTTCTTTTTATAGCTTCTGTGTCTTGTTTCCCACAGCCTGCAGAGCTGATGACTGTTGATTGCAAAGACCTAACCGTGATTTGCAGGGCACAGGGTTAGCAGACAGTTGCACAGCAAATGGCTTAACACAAATCTGGTTTCCACTGAAAGAATAGCCGCCTCCTTCTGGCTCTGCCTTACTTGTGCTAGACCTAGTGTGTGTGTAGGCAGCAAGGTCAGGGAACTGATCTGGCTGAAAACGGATGCTTAATCCTCTGCTTTTGTTGGACTAGTTTAACCTCGATCTGTTCCATAGTCCAGCTTGCTGTACAATGTACAGCAAGAGCGTGCCTCAACAGAGAGGTAACACCACTTCTTCCAAAGGCAGCTCCAACTCAACATTTAGGAAAAAGGCTGAAGTGGCAGTGTTTCATAATAATGAGGAAATGACAGAAAATGCTTTTCAGCCTGAAGTCCTACATCAGATTTCACATTTTGCTCCATAAGGCCATCAGCACCACTCTTAACTGTATGTCAAGAGCAGTGTATAACAGGATGCAAGCGTGGTGCCTGTCCTTTGGCTTTTGATCAGCTGAGCTGCCAGAAACACGCCTAAGAGCAGTGGTAAACTCCTGCCGGATTGCGCGGAATGGAGATGACCCTGCTTGCTTGGAGAGTGTGGGATTGGAACAGTTTGCGTCTGCACAGGGTTTGGGCTATGAAAATGTTACCTACGTGTCTAAGATTTTTCTTCCTCTTTGCAGACAGCAGTGGTCCCTCCAGCACTGTCTCCAGTGCAGGCCCGTCCTCCCCAACTTCTTTGGACAGCTGTGCTCGTTTCAGCTTCATTGAGAAACTCTCCACCAGCCCCCCAAAGAGCGAGGAGCAGCTGAATAACCTGTCCCCTGAGCAGGGGGAGGCGCAGCCCTCAGATAGCCCTAGCTACAAGTCAAGCACGCGATCTGAGCTGTCCACGGATGAGCCTAGCGGGCAGCCGAGTGCCCCAGAGACCCTGACCTGCAGTAAGAGTCTCGAGTCAGGCAGTGCCCTGGAGCAGGGCAAGATGGAGCTGGCGGGCAAGAACTCTGACCCAAAGGAGAAGAGTGTTGTGGAGCTGAATGCAGAAGAATCACCTGGGGAAATGTTAGATCTAGATAATGCAGGAGAGTTAGAATGTGGTGGAGGCTCTGAGGTAAGAACTGCTGGGGAGAGAGTGAAACCAGCTGAGGAGTGTCCAGGGAGAGGGGTGATCCTGGATCGGGCAGGGCTGTTGGAGGAGACTTTGGTGCTCTGTGAGGAAGAGCTGCTAGGAGAGGTGTTGGAGCCAGAGCCTGTGGGCAAGCAGGCACTTGGGGACAGTGCTGTGTTGGGCCAGGAGCAGCCACTGCCTCCTGAGACAGGCGTGGAGGAGCTGCAGTGGGAGGACGAGCAGAACTAGCGGCTCGCTGGACGGCGCACTGGCTCCCTGCTCTTCTTGCCTGGAGTCGGCCCAGCTGCCTGCACAGCGCGTCGTGTCCGCAGCACGGAGGAAGCCACGTCCCCAGGCCAAAGGACTCGGAGGTGCTGAGGAGCCTGCTCTGCTCCCGTGCGATCCAGCTCTTCACTGTCTGGCAAGTGACAACTCCCCTGTGCCACTTAAGCTGGCAGCACTCGCAGTCTTCGTGCCGGCCTGGCACCTCCACGGAGCGGTGACGTGGGGCTGCTCTCGCGCGCGTTCCCAGGGCTGGGCGCTCGCTGGGGCAGCGATGCCTGCGGATGGGCCAAGGCTTCTGGTGTGGTGAGGCCGCTCCCTGGAAATCTCATCCTGCAGCCTTCAGAACCGTGCCCAAAGGACCTCGGTTTTGTCATAACCCCAAACTCCTCTCTGCTTCTTCCTCCTTTTCTCCACCTCTCCATCTGCTTTGTTGGTTGCCAGAAACAGGGTCGGAGTCCTTGGCAGGAGGAGTGGGAGAAGCAGAAGGAAGTCTAAAAGAATGTGGGAAATAGTAATGTGGTGATCAGGTTCAAGACTGCCAGCTGCAAGAAAACCTCTGGAGTGGCCTGGTGTGATTTCCACCTGGACTGGGGCAGGAGGTGGCAGCCTGGGGGTCTACTCTGAGTTCAGCAGAGAGGATCACACGGGTTTTTCTCCTCCCCACGGATCAGGCATGTTAAAAACTCTGAACTCTTTGGTGACAGAAACTAAGAGAAACTGCTGTATGAGAATCAGGATTATTAGAAACCAATAAGGAGAAATCTTTACTGTATATAAACTGAAAATTATTTAATGCATATTTATGCAACTGACTTGTAAGCACAAGCCTGAGAGCAGGATTAGCACAGGTGTTGCTGTCACCTCCTGGGTACAGCCCAGGGCTGCGCCTGCCATATTTATGGATGAGTCTGTGTGTCTGTCTGTAGCTAGAATCTGTGTTTCTGTGAAGCTGTGCCCAAAGATCTCTGTGCTATGTCATGATGTTTGTTCACAGTAAACTGGTGCTGTGGCTCTTGTGTCTGTCTCTGGTGCTGAATCGCCCCACAGTGTGTGCAAACTGGAGCCTGCCAGTGCCGGGAGGGCTGGGGACCAGCACTGCCCGCTGTGGCCATCCTGCCTGAGACACCGGCCCAGGACTAGCTCCAGCCAGAGCGCAGGGGCTGCCGTGGGGCCTGCCCTGTGGCCCTCTCCTCCCAGAGGCTGCGAGGGGGAAGGGGGCCTGGCTGCCCACGGCCCTGCATGGTAGAATGAAATGTGCTGGACAATGAAAATGCTGGGGCAGGGCGTTAGACGCCTTCTGCTTGTAAGAGAACCAAGCGTGCCCTGTGTGCCATGTCCTCTTCACCAAGGCTGTCAGCTTCAGTCTTCCACTAGGTTAATGTTTCCTGGTCCTCCAGCTGCAACAGTGCTCCAGGGCAAGGCTCTGCCAAGAGGAACCCAGGTCCTGCCCTCCACGGGGCTCACGGCAGGATGAAGACTGGCCCAGGAGGGCTGCCCACGTGCCACAAGGATGCAGCATCTGCCACGAGCGGCCCCCCAGGTGCCCTGACCTCCACCCGGGGGCTCCGCAGGGGCCTGCAGGGCGACTCCCCGGTCCTGGCATCCTGCCCGGTCCCAGCTCGCTGCGGAGGGCAGCGCCGGGCAGCTCCGCGGCTCCAGCAGCAGGTCCCTCTGGAAGCAAGAGCACCGGCAGGGTGAGCACAGCCGCGAGGCCGCCCCGCCGGAGCTGGCGTCTCCTGTGCGCTGCCACTGCGGTGCTGGGCGCTGCGTCCTCAGGAGTGATGTGGTGGGAGCTGCGGACCTGGACTCTGGTGCTCACCCCAGTGCAGCACGAGGAGCAGGAGCCTCAGCAGCGGCTGTGGAGTGGGGTGACATTGTACAAAAGCCTGGTAAAACGCCTGCCTTTCTGCTGCCACTGCTGCAGAGAGCAGGGTCCCCAGAGCAAGGTGCCCTCGGGGGGGAGGCCCAGGCTCAGGGGCAGGGAAGGAGCAGCATCCACCTGCTGGAGCCTGCACTGTGCACTCAAACAACAGTTTAAACCAGCTGAGTGATCTCATTTGCAATGAATGTGGCTTTATTATTACTGTGCTGGGCTCCTCCTTTGACAGTTTTGGTTACAGTGATCTGGGTGGAAAGGGTAGAGGAGCAGAAGTCAAGGAGCTCAATAGATGTGATGCTGAAGAAAGGAGTCAGGGCTCTGGTTTAAAGCATCCAGTAAAGGAGGCAGCTAGGAGCACAAGTTGCCATTTCAATACAGTTAAGACGTTCACTTCTTTAATTATAGGTTTAAAATAGTTTTTTTTTTTTTTTAACCTATTACATACAGGAAGATTACACAGTTGCCCACATGCAGAAACAAGCAAAAGCAGAGTTTAATGTTTTTCTATGGTGTTGTGTTACCTGTGGCTCTGATGGGTCCTGGAGCCACTCACAGGCTGAGCAGCGTCAGACCTTTACAAAGGTGGCATTTTTACAAGTTGTGTTTTTCCTCATAGTTTTTTTTTGGGGGGGGGGGGGGGGGGGGGGGGGGGGAGGGGGGGGGAGAGAGAGAGAGGGAGAGAGGCTGAAGGCAGCACAGACTGCTACAAAAGACTAAAAAACCGAGTGGAGTTTTAAGAATGGAGGAGCAAATGGGTATAGGATAAAGCTGCAGCACAGGAGCCCCATCCTCCTGCTGGAGGATGCAGGCACCTAGCAAAGCTACCACTGCTTCTTAGCCAGAATTGCTTCAAGTTTAAAATGGAGAAACATTCGTGTGTGGATCTACCTAGCATTAGTGCATTAGCTTTTCTTCCTCGTCCCAGGAGGGAGCTGGGGCTCCTGGCATCACCACTCTGCAGCAGCTGCTACAGCTCCATGGTGCCGAGGGAGAGGTTCTGCCCTCAAGGCAAAACCCTGGAGCTGCAACGGGGAGGACTGCAGAGGGCCGGAGCTGCCTGCGCCGCTGGCCCTGCCCCGCGCTCACAGACACTGACCCTGCTGGGTTACAGAGGCGACAGTTGTTCCTCCAGCAAACATGCTGCGATCCAGTGGTTTACATGAGTACAGGGCAGGGATTTCACTGATCCCCGAGCAAGCCTGTGTGCTCCCACCAGCCTGTGCCAAAAGGGCTGCCTGTCCTGGGGCAGCAGCCTGCAGTGCCAGGTTTGGACGCAGCCCTGCAGGCTACAACCCTCTCTGCCAGCACAGACACTGCCCCATCTCTGCGCGCTCCCTGCTCTTACATCGCAGCATCTGCGTATTTGTGCTGAGACCTATGACTGGCCCTGAGAACGCAGGGTACCATGTTAATACGCATAAATTAAAATATTAAATCCACCTGGGGCAGCAGCCTGCAGTGCCAGGTTTGGACGCAGCCCTGCAGGCTACAACCCTCTCTGCCAGCACAGACACTGCCCCATCTCTGCGCGCTCCCTGCTCTTACATCGCAGCATCTGCGTATTTGTGCTGAGACCTATGACTGGCCCTGAGAACGCAGGGTACCATGTTAATACGCATAAATTAAAATATTAAATCCACACAAAATGTAGCATAACATCAAAAAATAAATATATAAATTAAATGCAAATAAACAATTTAAAAAAATAAATATATAAATTAAATGCAAAATAAACAATTTCCCTAGAAATCCCATTTAGTGCTAGGAGCAGGCTTCTAAGGCAGCATTTCCTTTATGGCAGCTGCCAGAAAACTAGCAGTGAGATGAGCATGTCCCAGGCAAGCACAGCACAGTCCTGGGATGCTAATTCTGGAGCAAGGTCTGTGCCCGGGCAAAGCACAGTGGGCAGCAAAGCAGCTGGAAACACGCTGAGCTGTGTGCCAAGCCTCAACATGTTGCTTTCTATCTTAGGCCTCCTTCTCAGGACACATCCTGCTGCTACTCTCTTCGTCTCACTAACTGGCAAGGTAAAAGTCCCGCCTGTGACCAGACCTTGCAGCGCTCTGAGCTGTGGCACTGCTGCTGTGGGCTCCAGACAGCTGAGCTGCTCTCCCCAGCATGCTGGAACCCCCCAGCTGGAGATAATCTGAAGGCCAAGGAGGCTCCGGGTGGCAACCAGCAACGCTGGTGCACTCATGGCACCTGGCGCGCTCCTGAGGGCACGGGCACAAGCCCGTGGTCACTGTGCAAGCAATGGCCTGTCGCTGCAGGCACGTGTTTGCACAGCGCATCCTGCCAGCAGCTCAGCCGTGCTGGCAGCGGACGTGTGCGTATCCCTGCCACCAGCGTGGAGGAACTGAAAGCAAACACATTCACTGAACTACTTTCCTGCAGTGTTTGGGGATCCCCTTTCCTTGCAAGGCAGCCGCTGTTCCTTACAGCCTAGGCACACTTAGGGGTGGGGTAGCAAAATAGTTGACTGCAGTCACGAAGCTGGACCACTGGCCCACAGGCTGGGAGGAGACTCCTGCTGCTGTTGCGGGGCCGGCACGTACCACTTGTGCTATCCAGAAAAACGGCATCTCTTCCACAGCGTGCCGGGTTGCTGGCTGCCTCCCCACACTCAAAAGAGCCTTTGGTTTGTGATTGTGGGGTGTTGTCAGTACGTCATTGGCCAAGAGAGACCAGGGTTGCTCAGCCCTTCTGCTTTGGAGAGTTCGGTACTTGTGCGTTTTGGTTATTCTCACGTGAGTCGCCTCCTGCTATCACTGCTGATGTGCAGGTGTGTGTTAGCCACCGTTTCTGTGCACAGCTCGGTCAGAAGGGTAGGAACATACTCCTTGTAGCAGAGCCACAGGCTGACTCCTTGCCACCATCCTCACATCAGCACATCCTTCAGCCCAACCCCTTGACCGTGGTGAGGAGGGTGAGCAGGAGCTGCAGCCTTCCACAAGCTCAGGACAGAAACATGTGACACTGCTGGCTGGAGACTGGTCCCCTCTTGCAGAACACCTGTGTGCTTGAGTGCACGAGGACAGTGTGTCCTTTGTGGTCAGATATCCAGCAGTCTCGTTACTATTTGGCGGGTTTGGCCTTCCCTCATCTCCCAGCTCCATTTTCCTTGAAAATTGGTTTCCTCTGCCCCCCTCCCCCACCCCAACACTGTCTTCATGCAGCAGCAGCATTTTCAGCCCACACTGGGAAGATGAGCTTCAGGGTGCTACAAGCCAAATGGCAAGGCAGCCAGGAACAGAGTTGGATAAGCTCTCGCAGCAGCCAAGATATTCTACAGAAATTGTACAGGCAGCAGCATAAAGCAGGGAAAGGGAAGGTGCCCCTGGCCTGCAGCTGCGCGTGCACAAACTTTTAGCTCAGTCCAGAGAACTACAGAGCCCTCTCCACTCCTCTCTCATGACACCCAGTGCTGAGCTAGATGGATACCCGATTGCCTGACAAATGGGGACCATGTAGAGGACTAAACCAGAGAAGAACTGGACTGTGATTAGATGGCATCGCTGATGTTGTATCGATGATTGGAGCGTCAATGGATGAGTGCAGAGTGTGGTAGGAGACCTAGAACTCAATCTTACAGGCTGGGAAGGATTCATCTTGCATCACGACAGTGCTGCTGCTTGCCAGGACCATGATGTTCAGCTCCTGCTGTTTCTCATGGGTTTGCTGGTACCATTCTCTTGTCACCTCAGTGTCATGTGTTGGTATCAATGTCACCTGGGGAAAGAATTCAGGAAGGGTGATTGCTGGAGAACAACTGTAGTGATAAACAAAGCCTATAGGCCCTGAGGCTAAATTTTCCTACATTTTGAGAACACAGTCTCCTTGGTGCTACATGCTCTATTTAATGTCTTTCAGCTGTCAGGTTCTCTAATGCAGCACTGGTCCAAAGTGCAACTCAGGCTGCCATGACTGAAGGAACATTAAAAACTTTCTTGCACCTGTCCAGAAACAGTGCCCCGAGGATCTTTGCAAACCTCACTAAGCAAGAAATATGTGTAAGAACACACATTTTTTTTTTTAAAGTCACTAATAAAGAGCCACTGTCAACCACAGCTTTAGAAAGCAAGGCTGGCAGCAATGCCATGCATGGCCTGGGACACCACTGTAATAATTCTGGCTGTGCATGGAATTGTTTTACTTGAAACTAAAGCTAATTCTACAACAGATAGTGAGAGATGTCTGCTTCCTAATCCCTCCCCCCGCCCCAGAAAGATGTGAAAAGGAGAAGATGTCTGTTTCGAGCCTCATGGGTCTAAGGGTGTTCCCCCCCCCCCCCATGGGCACAGGCAACACCAAAAAGCAGCTCTCCCAGCACGACAGGGCAGGACATTCGCACTCCCACTGGCGCCTCTCAGTGTTCTTCCTCTGAGCGTTTCTGACATGCCCCTTCTTTCCAGCACATGTGACTCAAGGAGCATCACCCACCCCGGCACCTCCATGACCTACCTGCAGGTTCTCGCCCCACTGCGACTTCCCTTCCAGGAGCGCATCCAGCACCGTGCGGCTCGGCTCGCCGTTGGCGGCATCGTTTCCACTCACGACGTAGTAGGAGGCGCGAACCCGCTTGAAGAACTCAGGATCCGTGTTCTTGCCACTGCAGTGGTTGGGGATGTATGCCAAGTCCACATAGACAGGTGGGCCCATGGGCACAGACAAACTGCTCTTAGGACTATTGGAAGCTTTGAGGGAAAAAAAATCAATAATTAAAAAAAAAAAAAAGCCGAGTCTATCACAAACTTTTCTGGAAAGGAAGAACACTCAAATTAGCAGGGAAGAACTTAGCATTCAGTCATGTTTTTCCTGCTACAGAGGAAAAGCCCTGGTTAGTTTTAGTTTGCAGAGACCAAAATAAAAAAAAAATGTATCCAGGCTCTGCTCTCCAAAGGTGATCCAAGGATTCCTGTCTCCTGTTGGGAGGCAAAGGGAAGTCTGTTCAGAGCAAGCTCTAGGCTTGGGAGACTTTCCTGAGAACAGAATTTAAATCCCTTTTATTAACTTTTGCAGAGTTATTATCCCAGTCAGTCTTTAGCTAATGAGTCCTATTGTTGTTGCTTAATGATACATGTTTCACGAAGCCTGTTCTAATGGCCTTTATACACACACGCACGTGCGCGTGCGCACGCAATCTTAGGGTTTTACAGCAGTCTTTTATTTCTGGCCACCCCAGCCCAGCATCCTGCCAGCTCCATGAACTGCTGCTGCTCTGAGGATGCTGTTACTCTTTCCTAGCATCATTGCCACTGCTTTTATATGGCTCTTCCTCACTTACGGTCACAAGATGAGGGATCTCAAACAATGCTGCTGTACACAGAGTGCGTGTTGCCCCCAGAGCGTGTGCCCGCGGCTGTGACCGTCCCCTCCCGGCCTCTGACTGCCTGGGACCACAGAGGCTTCTGTTCTCATTTTCCCCCACGTACTGTCCCTGGGTGGCTCCTTCTATCAGCATAAAGCCATTAACTACTAGCATGGACAACTAACCCTCTGTGCTGCCCACTGGCTGTGCAAACAGAACTGCCTGATTGATCCTCAGGCCGAGGCTAATTTGGGCAGCACTTCGTTGCTCCATCCACTGAGCACATCCACTGACATCCGTCCTGCTCACCACCACTGAGCACATCCTTCATCATCTGTTTGGCCTCTCCTTTGCCTTCAGTGCCAGTGCCATCAGCTGCTCTTACCCAGTTTATATTAGCTACGCAGGTGCAGCAGCCTCCAGGTCCCTTGCTCCATCTCTGCCCAGGCCCTGTCTTTGCCACATTGCCTGCAACGGTAGCCACATCAGCCTTGTTTCAGCATCCTTGGTACCCCATGGGCCAACCTACCTGCTACCTTTTCCCTTAACTCGGCACCAGTGTCTTGGAGGCAGAGCATTGCTCCCACCCCTACCGTAAAGAGCCTGGTGCCCTGGACACAGTGTAGACCTGGGGCTGATGGGCTAAAGCGTCATCTGCTGCTAACAAGCTGCAGCAGGACAACTTGGGATATCACTGTGTGACCTCTGAGAAACAGACCATGGGCTGTACAGTTACTGGAGGCTGCCTGTCTCTTTTGCACCTTTTTACTTAGGAGCAAGAGAAGACCATATTCTTCGAGGCTATGAGACTGCCCATCCAGGTTAGTCCAGGAAGAAGGAGCTGCAGCAAAGACTGTAAGACCCTGTAACATGGTGCCACAAAGGAGACTGCTCCTACTCCAGGTCTACCTAAGATTTCAGAGGGAAGGGGACATGTGACCATGGCAGGCAGCTGTGCAAGGATCTAAACACAAACATTAGCGCTGTCTTGTGTAATGCAGCTACCCCCCACTCACAGTTGAGCAGTTGCCACCACCTCTTAAAGCACACACATATCTTGTCTCTCAATTCCTGGCGTCTTCTCACAACCCAACTCTAAGTACTTGACACCTCTCCACAGAAATATCCCCTAGGTGGCACTGAATGGCCACCTGGAGATTTATGAGCTTCCGACACAAACTGTGTTTGTTCCGAAACAAACAGTCCATGGAGGACTCTTTGCAGAAGTGCTGGGATTCGGCTCTGCAGGGGTCTCTGGAAGTGTTTTTCTTGGTCTTTTTGTTGTTGTTGGGGTTTGTTTGTTTGTTTGTTTTTCCAGTGACATATGCAACAACATCTCTCCCTTCTCATTAAAAATAACTTTTTACGTCTGACTAGGATGTCCTATTCACAGTTCTATTTAACTCAGTGCTTTTTCTCTATGTTGAACCTAATTTGAACATGCCTAAGGAACAGTTTCTTACCAGAGCTTGTTTTGATGCCATTAACAAGGCTCTTGCTGGGATTGCTATGACTGCTCCGGGACAACTCATCCTCTGTGTGAGGAGGCTGCACCAGTGTACTGCGTGATTTGGGTTTTTCTCCTCCATCTCTCTCTTTTTTGGCAGTTGCAGATTTGTCGGATGGCTGTTTCACAGGAGTGGGTGACCGTTTCCCTTTGACATCTAATTTTCTGGCAGGAGAAGATGATTTGGGTTTGTTCAAAGGCTTCCTAACACCTTTGTTCTTTTCCTTCATGTCCTTTTTGGAAATTTTATCAGTTCTGCTCATGCTTTGCTCATTTGCCAACATTTCAGGGTCTACCATGCAGACATCTGGGTGAGGAGGATGAGGATGTGGATCTACCATTGGAACAGGCTGAGGATCATGGCTGGACCTCGTACTAGTATGATGAGCATTCCCAACAGCTTTGTCCACTGGGAGGAAGTCGGCATCTTCATCCGAGTCCATGTTGGCATCTGCAGTGATGGACGGACATTCCTCTGTCTCAGGTGGGACATCGGAGTCTGACTGGGAGGTTCCAGAATCACTGACTGATGTTGGAGGAGTTTCCTCCACTGTTGCACTTTGTACAGGGCTGCTAATATTGTGGGGTGGTCTCCCCTGCACTGAAGGATGGCCTTCCTCTTGTGAGAGGTCACTGTCTTCAGAAAGCTCATGAGGACTAGGGTTGATGAATGAAGGAGAGAGCTCACCCTTCCTGTGCCTGTATTCACATGAAGAAAATTTCTGTCCATAGTCAGAGCGACCTCCTAAATATGGCTCCATCTCATGGGAAGCATCTCCATGGTCCTCTCTTCTTCCACCTCTCTGTACATCTGGGAAAAAGGGCTGGAAACTGTATTCAGGGGACATCAAAGAGGAAGGACGGCTCTGCCTATCTGTGTTCTCTTTGCCTGCACATGGGGAAAAGCTGCTGTCAGAATCAGAATATGTTTTTTCATCTTTTGTCTCTACTTGCAGACCTGTGCTCACCTCTGTTGGACCATTGGCTGCAGTTTCATCTTCTTGCTGGTGAGGAGAAAATGTCACTCTGTCAGGGAGAGATGTCAATGTCATCAGCTGTTCTGTAATTGATGACTTCTGCTCTGGACTGGTTGCACAGGCTTGCTGTTGTTTCTCTGCAGAAAATGGTGTGGGCAGTGAGCCCCGGCTCTCATGTCTGCATGGCAATGTGCTGTCATCCATTCCACCAGAGAACACAGAGCTGTGTTCTTCAGCAAACACCAAGTCTTTGGTTTCAGCTGAACTTGTCTTCACAGTCTTATCTGGAATCTGTGGAGACACATCCCAAAGACTCCTGGCACCTGGTTCTGCTTCTGTACCTGTGCATGTGGCGAGCATGTGTGAATAGAAACCCTCTGCTGTGCTGGGTATCACAGGAGTGGTAGCTTCAGATGATGGTTCCTCAGACAGGCTGGAAGAGTCATCTTTCAGCTGCTGCTGGAGCACAGACTCTCTTTCCACAGCTTTAGAGAATAATTTATCTTCTTCATATGGACTCAGTGGTGACAATTTAGTAAAAGATGAGTCAAGACAACCAGTTTTCTCAGAAACCTCCAAGTATTCATCTTTCTTCCCCCTGTCTGAGAGCAAAGCACAAGGAACTTTTAAAGTAAGAGATACATCCCCTAAATGGCTTGGTAAGGATTGCTCATGTCTGAACACACTAGATGTTTCGCTCTGTCCTAGCACAGAGCATTCAAACTCAGAAGAGATATCCATCAGTCTTTCCTCTCTTGTTGGACCTTTTCTGTATTCCTCGGACTGTTTTTCTGGAGTAGATTTCAAGTATGTGGCTTTCTCAAAGCACTCAGAGATCATCTCTGTACTTGGATAATTTGTTACATGGAACTGTGATTCCTTAGTGGATTTTTCATCATCCTCTCTCCTTTGCAAAGAATCTTGGCTAAAATGGTACCTTTGTGAAGCCTGTTTATCTATGCCTATGTCTGGCAGGTCACTGTAACCAGCAGTGTATGTCCCCACAACGGCCGCTGACGCAGTTTTCCTGATTCCATAGTCCTCCTTCCACTCTGGATCAGAAGGTGAGGAGGCAGTAGAAGTGGGTGAAATGGACTCTTGACGCTTGCTTTGGGGAGCTGGTTCTGATGCCTCAAACTTCTCCACTGTGGAGATGGGTGCATAGAGAGTGCCTGCAGCTTGGGCAGAGTCAGGCACCTTAGAGTCTTTTTCAGATTTCTCCTTAGCACCTTTTTCTAATTCTGAATCACTTGTGCTTTCTTCACCTTGCCCTGCTTTTTCATAGTGTACTTCCTTGGGCTTTGGGATTTGGGATTTCGAGGACAGAAATCTCTGCTCCTGGCTAGACAAAATGATGTTCTCATCTGGACAAGGAGTGTCAATATAGGCAGCTGATTTTTCCTGATGAAATGGGTTGATGATGTCTGTAGGAGAGGCAAATGTTGGGCTTGCAGATGATGTGTGTGGCAAAGAGCTCAGTAGTTCTGGCAGAGCAGGGGACACCTTCAGTTCTTCCTGAGCTTTGGGTGTCCTAGGCTTATCTATCTCAGGCAAGGATGAGTATCTTTCATGAATGTCTGAATACTCAAAGGATGAACCTGATTTATCCCTAGGGGATACTGGAGATGACAGTTCCTTTTCAGCAGAGGTATAAAGACAGGACTCTTCTTCCTTAGCAGAGACATGATAAAATTGATCTTTTTGAGAGACTAGTTCTGTTTTTGTTGGCAGCATGTCATTTTGACCGGGGCTCTCTGCACCCTTGGATGTGAAGGAGGAGAGCCCAGCTCCAGACATAATTATCTTCTCATAGATGTCAGCATACTGGAAACATCTTTCATCGGGGTAGGGAGTTGGTTCCCTTTCTTCTTGCTCCGCTCCTGTGTAGCTGTCCTCACCCCTGGCCCTGAAGCTCTCTCTGTCATAGGACTGAGGTTCGGAGGGGCTCCTGCAAGAGGATTCTGGAGGACCTGCTGCTTGGCTGGCAGACCCAACAGCTTCAGCACGACCAAGAGCAGTGCTGCTTTTCTGAGCAGAGTCTTCCCTCAGAGAGGAGGGTGTGCTCTGACCTGATCCTGCAGTGCTTTCTTCCGGGGAAGCTGCTGCATATTCATATTTTGCTGGTCTTGCCAAGTGCAACGAAGCAGGTGCTGCTGCTCTCTGCTCTTTGCTTTCTCCAAAGTCATGAGGAGTCTTGGTGGATTTACAGTCATCCTCTTGTTTCCTATCTGACTTGTATTCCGAGTTTATTTCCTGATACAGACCAGTGACATCTGATTTTTTCTCTGTATCCTTCTCTGGCACTTTCTCCTGTGAAGGTGTCTTGTAAGGCCTCTCTGGTTCTGGTTTTGTACCGGTCTCCTTTTCAAGACTGCTAGCCAATATAGACAGGGGAGAAGCTGTTGGTACTTGGTCCAGTGACTCGGCATAGGTACCTAAGACAGCTTTCTCATCATCATCTAAATAGGAGTGATCTTGTTTAGATGGCACTAACAATTCTTCCCTTTCTTTGTCTCCAGCTAACACCCGGGCCTGATGTTCCTCCCCAGAGATATACTGAGAAGACAGAGGTGGACTATCCACATGTGTTTTTCCTGGGAAAGTGATGTCTTCAGGAACTATCTCCACTTTGCTTCTTTCTGCTGCAGGTTTGGTACCTTTCAGTGTGTCTCCTTTGTAGTCACAGGATTCCAGTTTGACAAGTCCTGCTTCTGCTTGCAGCAGCACAGGTTTGTCTTCAGCATGCTGAAGATCATCCTCCTCCTCACTGGGGAACACCCCTGCTCTTCCACTGTCCCTTCCTTCCTGAAGATACCCAAATGTAGAGCTCCAGGCTTCACTTCCTACTCCTCCCCAGGGGTGATTTCCGGGTGCTGCAGGAGACAAGATCTCCTCTTCTTCCATTTTAGGAAGGTCTTTTGTGTCATATTCTGGTACCTCATCCAAGAACGTGCTTTCCCTCTCCTTATTGTACCTCTGTCGGCTTCCCTGAACAGGGATCTCTTCCACCTCCTTTGGGAACCATACTTTCTTCTCATAACTCAAGTCTTTCACATACAAATCTTCCATTTCTGGAGATTTTTCTTTAGCTTCCTTGAACCTGGAAGATTTTAGATCTTCAGCAGCCATGCAGGAAGGCATTTTATCTTGAACTGGGCTAGATTCTGTAAAGTGTAAGTCCTTCACATCCCCTGATATTTTTTGAGAGAGCAATCCTGGCATTTTGTCCTTAGATGGGCCCTTTTCTGTTAAAAAAAACAAATTTCTATCATCTGGAGAGATTTCTTCAATTGAAGTGTCTCTGGGTGATATGTGTGAGCTACTTTCTGAGCAAGGAATAGGTTTTGATGCTTCTTTAATCATTTCTTCGTCAGAAATTTTCAGAGATTTTTCACATGTAGCTGGGCTCTTCTCTGTAAAGAGCCTGGATGTGGCAGCTGCTGCTGAGTATTTGTCAGTAAAGTCAGACACAGTTTGTTCTTTAGCAGGTATCTCTTCTATTAAACTAAGAGATTTGATGTCTTCTTGAGGAATGCCTTTAACAAAAATGTCTGAAGAGATTTCCTTGCTAGGGCTCTCCTCAGTAAGAGAAATTGATTTGGTATCTTCTGGAGAAATGTCTTTAGTGGAAAGATGAGATTTTTCTTCTGAGGTGTCTTCTGTGAAACAGAGCAGTCTTCCTTCTTCAGCAGCTATTTCCTTGAGAGAAATATCTGGAGATTTTTCTTTACCAAGACTTTCTTCTGTAAAAGAAAGTGACTTGGTGTCATCTGGGGAAATTTGTGAAGATTTGTCACTTTCAGATTTGCTTTGGTTTGTAAACTGAGGAGTATCTATTTTTCCTGGAGACAGTTCTGTAGTAGAGACTGGTTCAACAGACAAAGGTTTGGAAAATCCCATGAAACTTTCCATTATGGTTTTAGTGCCTGGCTCTTTTTCTGGCTCTGAAAACACACCTGTGCTGGAAGGAGGCAGGGTGGGGAGCTCCTCCTCCTCCCCTATCACCACTGTGTCCTGCTTGTGGTAGGAGAGCCAGGGCAGCTCCTCCTTTCCTGGGGGTGCTTCCAGCATCTCCTTCCCAGCAGCAACTGGTTCATCGCTGCCCAAGTCCATCTCATCTTCAGCAGGGCCAGGCACCTCCTTTTCATGATGATATTTAGCTGCAGGGACCTCGTCTTCTCTGAGAGGTTCTGTTTCGGTCTTGGGTCCTTTTGCCGCAACAGTTTGTCCTTCCAACTTCTTGGCAGCAGCATCCGTTTGTTTTTCAAAGAGCTCCGAATCTACCGTTTCCAGCTTTTCCTCCACCGGGGACTGGTGGAAAGGTGTATGTCCTGCACTGGTGGGGCCAGACTGGGTGGGAGAGGCCATTTTGACTGTGCTATCATCAGGACTTGTGCATCGTTCTTCAGCCTCTACAGAGACAGAATCAACCTGGGAAAATGATGGTTCTTCAGCAGATAATGTCAGACCAGAAGTCTGCATCACTTCTGCAGGGGCACTGGCTAAAACACTGTCAGCATGTCCTTGATGAGCAAACAGTGGGGCAGTGTAATGACCTTTGAGCTTCTCAGGCATTTCAATATTTGGAGTCCCATCTTCTTCCTCCTCCTCCTCTTCTGCCTCTTCATGAAGATCCTTTTTCTGAGCTTCTGATTTTCTCTCTCCTTCTATGAGTGCATGGAAATCTTCAGGAGGTGGAGATTTAAAGCATTTGTCTTCCTCCAAGGAAGATGTGGGAGAGATTGTGCCAGCAGAGGGAACATAATCCAGACCTTGGGTTGCTTCAGTCCGTGATGAGGGCATGCTATTTACTGTGTCCAAAAGTAATGAGCTTTTGCCAGTCTCTTCTGTTTGTGGGGCTGTTATTGATGCAACAGATTGGTCTTCTGCAACTGAAGTTGCAAAAGAGGAAAGCTTATCACACTCTGTAATGGAGGTAGCAGAGGATATATGTTCTTCCTCAGCAAGAGGTGCTGCCACAATGTTTGTAGGATACGCAAGGATTTCAGACTCCTGGCCGGTATAGCCCTTGGCTGCAAGGTCAGAAACCGGCACGGCCTGTATTCCATGTATTGCTTCAAAAGAGCTTGGGTGGTCAGGAACAGAAATGTCATAGGTGTTGACATCATACTTCAAATGTGGGATCCTCTCTTCCTGTTCATCGTGGATTTCTTCATCAGAAATGGTCTGCTCTGTTTCGGAGTAGCCTGGGATTGTTTCATCTTGGATGTATGAAACGTGTTCTGCAGCTGCTCCTGATGGGACTGGCAGACTGCTCAGATAGGACTCTTCTTTTGTTATCTCCTTTGCCAGTGATTTGTTTTTCTCATCCACTTCATTAAATTCTTTTTCTGTTTCTTTAGTGGTAAATATTTTGTCCTTCCTCTCATCCTGATTCAGCTCATACAAATCTTTGTTTTTTTCTATCTTCTCCTCTGCCTTCATGTACTGTTCTTCTTTTTCTTCCAGCTCTGCCTTTTCTATTACATCCTCTTGCTTTTCCTTCTCACTTTCCTCCTGTGTCTCTGCCCCCTCAATATACTTCTCACAAGTCTTTGTTTCTGCTTCCCTCTGCTTTGTGTCCAAACAGATTTTTGCCTCTTCCTCCTTTTCTTCCTCCATAAATGCTGTTGACTGCGCTGTTGCCATGAGGTCTGTGTGTGATGGTACCTGTTGTCTGTCTGGCAACAGCTGAACTTCCCTGTCCTGCTCATCTTTTCCCTTGCTGTATCTCATCTCGAGAGTTTTGTCCATTGCTCTTCCTTCATCCTCTATTTTTTCAGCTTGACCTGCTCTCAGATCTAGCTGGTGAACTGTCTTTTTCTCTCCTTGTGATTCCTTTTCCGTATCAGTAATAATTAATCCCTCATCAGAAATGCTTGTTTTCAAAATTAGATCAGCTTCAGGGTGAGACCGGGCAATCATGTCAGGGGACACTTTTATAGGTGCTGCTGCTGCAGGTGCTCTCACAACTATATCGCTAACTTCAATATCAGACTTTTCTTGAGTTATCTGCAGGTGCCCTTTTTCTTCATGCTTCAGTTCTTCGAAGTCTTTGGTAAGATCTTCCGGTGAAGACAGGACTAGCCTCTGTTCAGCCATGAAAGTCACTCCCGGCTCCATCTGTGAAGGTGTCTTCTGCGTTGGCAATGTCTTCAGCTCAGCAGCTACTTCCTTCTCAGGTTTGACCTTGATCTTCTCAGTTTTGATTCGGCCTGGAACTTTTGCCTTGTATAATGTTTTTCGTACTTCTGGGGTGAATGGTTTTAAGTCTGGTTTAGATATTTTCTTGGGCTCTGGTTTAGTTTCTTTCTTTTTGTCTTCTTTCTTTGAATCTTTTTTTTCCTCTTTCTTCCCATCATCTTTTTTTAAGTCCTTTTTCTCTTTCTTAATCTCTTTCTTTTCTTTGTCTTTCTTTTCCTCCAATTTAGATACTTTCTCCTTGAGATGCTTTTTGCCAACCTTGTCTTTTGTTAGTTTTCTTTTCTCAGCTTTGAGAGAATCACTTGATTCGGTCTTTATCTTTTCAGGTTTGACGGGTTTCTCAAGAATTTTCTCAGCTTGTTCTTTAACCTTTTTCTCAGTTTTAGCATCCTTTATGACCTCTGCTTTTACCTCCTTAATCCCCTCCTCAGCTGTCTCTTCTTTCTTAGCTTGCTTTGTCACAGATGGCTTAGGAGAAGACTTCAGACTCTCTTTACTGTCAGTTCTTTGTTTAATTTTGGTCTGCTTCAGCACTGGTGGAGGCATTCCGGAGGAGATATCTTTTTGAGTGGCCACTGGATACCTCAGAAAATCCAGGTGCTTGAGTTTCTCAAGACCCTCCAGTATCTTATTTTGAGGAGCATTTCCAGGAAACAAAACCCTCACAATTTTCTCTGTTGGGCTAGCTGGCAGCCACACCACAAGAGCTGTGATGGATGTGAGATAAGGAACAGAAATTTCACCTTCTTTCCCACTTGCAAGAATTATGCCAGTCTTTGCTTTACTATTACCAGCCCATTTCTGCATTAGAAACTGCATTTCCTTACTGTCCTTGACAGGATTCAGTACATACATGTCCAATTTTCCCACTCCCATTTTGTGGAAAAGGGTGATTGGTTCAATGGTGTTACTCACCACCCTGTAAAGAGGCTCTGATTTAATGCCAAGTCTATTGAGATACTGCAGTGTCAGACAAGCCTCTTCGATGCTCCGCTTTACTTTCATGGATGATTCGGGCATTTTCAGTTTTTCAGGAACATTAAAGAAAACCACACCCAGCTCAGGAGAAATGAGGTTCTTCATCCAGTCACTGTAATTGGTGGAGCCCTGGGATTGTTCCTCCTCTTGCTCTGCAACTTTCCTTTGCAGCAGCCCATTGATACCAGGTAGGTTGTCTGCACCAATGTGTGTCAGGAGAATAGAATCAATCCTGTCCAGGTGCCTCACCAGCTTCCAGAAACAAGATTTTCTGTCAGAACCACCATCCACTAGGATGTTAAACCCATTAACAGCAAAGAGAGCAGAGTCACCTCTTCCACCAGGAAATATGTAGCAGCAGGGTTTAGAAAGTTTCAAAAAGCCCCCTGAGGTGGGTGGCTCTAGGAGATCAAATGGTGATGGCACATCAACTGTCTCAGAGACGTATTCTGCAAACTCAGACACCCCCTCCATTTCTGGCAGAACTGGATCAGGATTCAGTTTCAGATTAATAATTTCCTGAAATTGAGGATGCCCAAGGTTGCTCCAGTCTCCTTCTCCCAAACACGACACGGTAAGAGAGGCCTTGGTATCTGAATCAGTGTTACTAAGAATCTGGGTCACCTATTGAGACAAGCACAGAAAAAGAGAGGATCAAATAGTGCTCCAAGACCAATGCAGCTCTTTTTACAAAACAGCCATGCAGAAAAGCCAAACAGTTAATGCAGAAATATCAAAGGCTCCACGAGCACCTGTTGATAAGAAGCACTGAAGACAGATGAAATATTCATAAAGCCCATTACAAGCAGATGCAAGGGACCATGTTCCCCTCTCTTTTGTAATGCTGAATTCTAATGGGCTCTTATGCTTCTTGATTGTCGGGAATGTAGTATGACAAGTCTTCAGGAAAGAAAGCAAATGCAGAAGCCATCTTGTCCTCTTTCCTTACTTCTCCCAATTTAACCTGGGATATCAGTCCCAGGGTACCTAGCTTGGGTACAAAAGGATTTGTTTCTTCTTGATCCATGAACTTTAAGTCTGAGGCACCATTTTCAATGCTAAGCATCATTGCCCAGCCTTATAGGCTTGATCACCCTTACTTATTGCCCGTCGAACACCTATAGAGCATTTCTTAGTGCAGTTTTAGTGCCATGGAATTTCTCTTCTATTCAGATTTATTTTCTTTCCAGAACCCTATTTCAAAAAGTCCCCGTCTCTGATATATATAGGTTAGAAGATATGCTACATACTTTAAAATTAGAGCCAGGGTTGGTATGTTTTCCAAGGTTCCTCATAGCTATTCAAACATTTCCTGAGCAAAGGGCATTACGCTTCCAACTTCTCAAGGTACCTGAAATGAGGTAGTACCCTTCTTTGCACTGTGTTCTCTTAAGCAGCCCTTAGTGTGTCGAGATAAATGGAGATCAGAAAAAAAAGGGAACAATCAGCCTATATTAGCAAATACGGATAAAAATGAATAAAGAAAATCTCTATTTATTCAGAAAAACCGAAAGTCTTGTATTGCTGAATGTATTGCTGCAACTACAGCAATAATGTTAGTAACGATCATGCTAACTGCCCAGTCATTCGTGCAGCAGCTGTTCATTCAAATCCAATGCAGCTATTCAAAACATCTGTGCATAATGATCAGTAGATGTGAGGCTTGTCAAAACCATTATTGCCTATTTGTGTTGGCAATGAGCCTCAATAGCAAGAGAGTTTAGAGCCTCTGAGGAAAGCTATAATACAGCTAGCTAAGATGTGCATTGGAGCAGAGGTCCACAAGTCTAGTCCAGTGAGGTTTTGAAGAACCCACTGGATAAAGCTCCCTTGCCTACCTTACAGGTGGTTGGACTAAAGACCTCTTGAGGACCCTTCTGCCTGAATGATTCTGTGAGCCCATGATTAAATAAATACAGCAATTCATCCTCTTGTCATCTTAATGCAATGAATCCAAAACTTTCTCTCTAGCTTTCTCTGTATATAGCTATACAGCCAGCTAATAAACATTTTGATCCTTGTGAACATTTTATGCTCACTGATAAGACTGTGAAATTAAGGGAATTACTCATGTTTACTAGGATGATGATGGCCTCCATTGACTATTGTTGGTTGCAGCTCTCTGACATTTTGAGACCTACTCCAAGAAATTCTGAGTCTCTACGCACTGCAGAGCAGGTCTGAAAGTATGTTTCAAGCTGAGTACTTAAAAGTGGAATCACCCACACCTGCTGTCTCAGAAAACTTAAGCCAGGGAGTTAAAGCATGGTACTACAGGCCATGACAAGAGTTATTAATGGTGTTAAATAGATTTGCATGTGATTGTTTTGCTGGCTTTCAAGTCCACCCCCCAGGGATCCGCCACCCGCAGGAGCAGCACGAGCTGCACTGCAGGCTCTGTCGCACATCCAGGGAGCAGGAGGGGACATCCTGGGCTGCTACGCACACTCACCTCTGGATCTGAAAGTATCTCAGCAAATTTCTGGTAAGTGAAGGTCCCCGTCTGCAGGATCAAGTCTCCTTCCTGATCTGAGCTCTGACCACAGAAGACCAGTAGTTTGTGTACTGATGAATCACACACCAGTGAGCGGACCTGCCATGATGGCATAAAATGTTGTCACCAGTCTGATTTGAAGTAAAAAAGCCATCTGTATTCCCCACCAGTGCTCAGAAACTTAACTGCTTGGATAATAAGAACTATTCTAGGTAACATTTACTCACTGTTCACTGTTCACAAATATCCATAACATAAGTTTTCTACACAGTCAAGCACATTACTGAAAGGGAAGGCACTGCTACCGCCTGCAACATCCCCCTGATTCACAGAGAAAGTGGGATGATGCTAAGAGAAAATGTCTAGCATTCCAATACAATATCAGAGGTTTGAACAGTAAGACACTCACCTAGCTTGAATGCTTAAGATTCAAAAGTTCAAAGTTCTCCATCTTGCTGGCAGGATGCTCTACAAGCTCCTGAGAAATCTTTAAAACTATGTAGGTCAAAGATACCTCTCTTGGAAGTAGGTGATGCCCAAAGGTTGGCACACAAGGAACCACAAACTCTTACGTGCACTCCTTTGTCTAGTAGTAAATTCTGCCACAGAGCATGGGTAACTGCATATATCTTCCTGCCAAGACCAGAACATCTGTCAGCTTCACCACACACTGCAGCAGAATGGGGATGTGGTCAAACTCCAAAAGCTGGGAAGTGTGATGGGGAAGTGTGCCAAACATAGGCAGAAAAGCTGATGTGGAGAAAACTCATTGGCATGTAGCCCTTACCTCAGATACAATGCTGTCCACATTGGGATTGACCAGGATCACTGTCTCCAGGGTATCGCTTCGGTGATGGAGGGTTCTTTGGCCTGGGGAGAGATTAGACAAGGAGAAGGAAGTTACTAAGAAAGTACACACCAATATTCAGCTTCAGAAACTCTACTTCTGCACTCCTTTGGTTGCAGGACTTCAGCTTACACTTAGCACCAACGGATCAATCCTTCAGACAGAAGTATCTTAATTCCTTAGAGCTACCAGGAGAAGTTCTCTGCTCTCCAAGCCTCAGCAACCATAGGGCTTCGCAAGCCAGCTGATGGGTGCTGACTCACCCCTCACTAGGGTGGTACGATACTGATAATTAACCTCTTGTCATTCTTAGTAAGTTTTTTTCTCCAATAAACTTTTTATTTAATCCAGACCCATACTCTTACAAGTTACCTGATGCTATAGGAACCATCTAGATGCTAGATACTCATTTTCCTATCATTCTCCTACAAACAGGAATCCAATTAGGAGTCTGTTATCTGAAAATAACAAATAAAATAATAATAATAATAATAATAATATCTCAAAATAACCTCAAAATATCTCAAAGTAATAATATCTCAAAATATTGAAATTTCACAGGTTGGAAAAGTGACCATGGCACAAAAGCCACAGCAAAGTTTCCTACTCTTTGGTGAAGGCAAGCCTTACTTACATGGACATCCTGATGCTCTATTAAGAGAATTCCACCTTTGAAGACAGTAAGCAATACGTAACAGTGCCCAGGGTACACATATTTGCACAATTAGCATTAGCCAATGCAGCCTGAAAAGCTGACATTTCTCTCACTCTGGAGTGACATTCAAACATTGAGATGGTGACTGATTCCTTTCAGAAGCTTTGAAATCCCCAACTGCAGTTTTAGTGTTGCCAGTATGAAAAAAAAAAAAAAAAAGGCTCAAGTAGAGTGCATTCAAAGAAGAAAAACAGTGCTTTCATGTGCAAAGACATTGGCACTGTGGTGAGTATGCCAAGCTGCAGGTCATCAGGAAGTGGGTTTATGAAGGCCAGGAGAATGGACCTGCACAGGATGCTGAGGAAGGTCCTGCCTCCCCACACATAGTTTTTTCTCTCTGCATGCACTCCAGAGACCCCCGCAGACATGAGGCAGCCCTGCGCTGTCCAGCAACGACGGGGGTACCTGCTGTTGTTGGAAGCAGAACACTAAACCCATCATTTGCAGGCACTGAGCTGCTGGACTGCTGCTCGCTAGCTTGCAAACTGAGCAGCATATGGCTAGTGAGAGCTGCTCAGGCTGAAAGAGACCTGGAGCAACCACACAGTAGTCAGGAGGACTCAAATGGAAAAATAAAGACAAGATTGCTTTGGCAGACTCTACACAAGGAAGAACTGAGAATACACAGCCCAATCCTCTGACTCTGACCTGCTGCATGCCAGGAAGGCCCTTTTAGCTGCTGTACCTGGGCTCCCTGCTGCACTCAGGCGAGCGGCCCTGATCGGCCAAAGCGGCACAGAGCCGTGTCAACCACTGGGAGATGCTTCAAAGGCTGAGAGCAGCAGGGGAGTCTGTGGCTCTACAAACTGGGATCGAAGCAACGGGGGAAAGCTTGCACAACCTGCCCTGTGTGCACAGAGCATCCAGGAGGAATAACTTTATTGAATTTAGAAAGAAATCCTTCCCTGGAAGACTAGAAACAAAAAATCCTGGGCAGACAAATTCCATTTTAAACAGAACTGTCATTTCTCTTTTGGTAAAGGGAGTCAGCTGCTGTGAGCAGCACATCTGTGTGATCAAGCCTGGCCCTGTGCACGCAGTCGCCTGCACCCTGCCTCTTCCACAGATGGGCACGGGCAGCACACAGCTGTATCACACATGCAGGTAAAGTCTGGGAGTGCAGGCACCACTGCCATGGCCAGAGGAAAGAGACTGTAATCTGCTCCTGTAACCGTACTCCAGGCAAACATCTTCACAACTTGAGTCATACCCCACTTCCAAACTGATCCCTCAAACACACACAAAAAAGAGCACAGTCAATGCTCCAGGCTCTGAAGAGGGACAAACCACTGTCCTTATTGCTTTCCACAGAGTGTAAACTAGATTGCAAAGCTGACAAAATGCTTATATTAGCTGCAATAGCAAATCAGTTCTTTTACTGTTCCTAAAAACATTTCTTCTATTTTCAAAATATTTTTTCTTAGACTGCAACAGAATAAACTTGTTAGAATGAAATATCAGCTAAAATTATTGATAAAAACTATTTTTTTTCTTAAACTTGTAGTGATCCATCAGTTACTTTTACTTTTCTTCCTGTCTCCTAAAACTTTGAAAATATTCAGGCTACTGTATTTACTTAGTCACACAAAAACTCAGGCTCCAAGTTCTTGTTCTTCAGGCAAAAATGGCTGTTCTGCATTCAGCATACATTTTGACTGAAAAAAACACAACAGTGTCACTCCACTTTCCCAATCGGCACCTCTCTGCTCTCTCTTGCCATAACTTCTTTGCTTTCTGGGCATTTGGGATTGTATTCTTGTTTTACTCTTGACCATCCCAAACATTTTCTGTTTTATTATCATCGGAAACCTGCTGCTTGCAGCGCAGCCCTGGTTATTCCTTGAAGAACGGCTAAGGGAAGCAGAACGCCGTTGGCATGTCTCCGCCCAGCCGGGATGCCTCGGCTCACAGCGCTCACAGACTCCATGGCTCAGAGCCAGGTGCCCCATGTGCCCATGGGGAGCTCACAACCCTCAGGAGGATCAACAGACACCACCCAACTAAGCAGCCAAAAACATCAGAAAAAGGGGGAATGCTGGGCCCTTACCCTGGGCAAGTTCAGCCGCAGGGGAGCCGGCAGGACAGCCCGCTCGCTGGCCCGGGGGATGGAGCTGCTGCAGGGCCGGAGCAGGGCTGCTCCTGCTCCCCAGCTGGAGCTCATCTGGCTGGAGGCACAATTAAAGCACTCACAGCACAGCGCTGTACGCTGAGTCTGCACACATCTGTGTCCGAACACCATACAGCAACTGTCTCTGTGCCCCCCCAGCAGCTCTGAGGAATAATTAACTACACCTGCGGATACCAGTGCAGCCACCTGCTCCAGCCCGGATGAGGACGCCAACAAGGTCTCTAACCCGAGATCATATTTACCAGAGCAAGTGACATTTCTCCCTCACTGATGATCATCTTTTGAATGGCTTGTTGGGTCAGATGAGATGAAACTGTTGGGAAAGATAACTGGAAAATTACCCAGGAGAAGACTGCAGCTGGTGGCTGGTGCTAGCTACTAGGAATAAGAGATGCTTTCGGAGGCAGGCTGCCCTAGTGCTCTACTGTCAGACCCAGAGCACAAAGGATGTACAGCAGCAGCTCCAGCTCTTCATTCCTTGTCCAGAAAGGAGCAGAGGACAGGGCTCAGCAAACTCTTTATAGTGATGTGACCACAGCCAGAAGGGGCTGTCTCAGAGTCACTCCCATGACTTCTGTACACAGTGTGTAATGACTGCAGCAACTGCTCATATAAAAGCAGTATTAGAGAAGTGCTTCAATGTGGTTAAGCAGGCGGGACTAACGAGGCACAGGCACCAGGCTGTGCCTCATGGTCTACAGCAAGGGCTCTGCTTTCATCGCCTGAGCATGTCTACAATAAGCTTTATTTCATATACTTTCAAACTCTCAGATATAAATAAGAAATAGGTAAATAGAGGGCAGAAAACATAGATAGTAGAGTATCTACAAATAGATAGCAGAAATTGATAGATGTTTATTTATCTATAAATAAATTTAAAGGTTTATATCCTTAAGATTTTTTTAGTCTATTTCTCTTAGGAGAAATATTTGCTCCCTCTATCCATTTGCCTTTGTCTTATTGTCTCCCCCTCTTTTAAAGCTTTCATGTCATCTACAGCTGCTTTCTCCTATACTAATAGAAGGCAACTTCTGTTCTCATACTATGCCTGCCATAGCAACCATCTTATTGCATTCTAATTGCACATACTGTCTTACTTTTATGCAGAAGACCAATTTGAAAGCTCACCCATTTTAGAACCACTAATTGAAGACACAGACAGATATTCATTTTGCGAAAAGCTATATCTACTTCAGAAGTTATTTTCCTAACTGTTTGTGAAATGTCCCTCAGTTACATTAATGGACAGGATGAGCTTTCTAGTTTGCCAAGCGCAGAAATCCCATCCCCTGGAGTGGCTTTGCTTGTTCAGACTTGCCCTGAACCCCTGGCCATGACATAGTCCAAAGGCTTTTACACAAATTAAAAACACCAAACCACAGAACTGCTGACGTTGGAAGAGGACTCTACAGATCACCTAGTCCAACCCCCCTGCACAACCAGATCACTTAGAGCATGTTGTACAGGATCGAATCCAGGCAGGATTTGCATATATGTGAAATGGATGGAGACTCCACCACATCTCTGGGCAACCTGTTCCTGTGCTCTGTCTCCCTCACAATTAAAAAAATAAATTCTCCTTGTATAGACAGAACTTCCTGTGTTCCGGCTTGTACCCTTTGCATCTTGTATTGCCTCTGTCACTGAAAAGAGCCTGTCCCCACCCTCACTGCACCCTCCCTTCCAATATTTAAATGCACTGATAGGATCCATCCCCCTGCTCCATCTTCTCCAGACTGAACAACCCCAGCTTTCTCAGCCTTTCCCCATATGAGAGGAAAGTTATCTTAGTCATCTCAATCACCACAGCTCTGCATTGGAGGATTATCTGCAACTTCTTAAATGTCTCCTGTTCAATTTATTTCCTGTTCAATTTATTCATCAATGACCTGGATGAAGGCACAGAGTGCTCCCTCAGCAAGTTTGCTGATGATACCAAACTGGGAGGAGTAGCC